ATAAATATAAATAATAATATTTGTACATACAGGGTGTTCTAGCGTAAAAAGGTAAGTAATAGGTGATTGGAAATCTGAGGAACCCTCAAATTAAGCCCCCCGTTTTCATATTTTCTACAAGTTAAGAATTGAAGGTTTCGACAGATAGTAAAAAAATAATGACTTAAAATATGTATATGTATTCCCTGTTATTCAGTGCGAAAATCTCACCTTAAAGAGGGGTCACATTTCATTTTCAGTTCCTTTCGGCCCCTAACTCAAAAAATGATAAGAGAAAAATGGTTAGAGACAAGAAATAAATGATAAGTGATAAGAGATAAACTATAAGAGATTAAAGATAAATAATTAGAAACAAGAGATAAGAAATAAATGATAAGAGATCAATTATTAGAAACTAGAGCATAGAGTAAATAATATAAGGAGAGGCCATTGCCAATACTAGCATTTACTTTGATATGAATCAACTATAATTTAATGGCAGCCATCCTGCAACCTAGTTGAAAATAATTAACTAGACAGCAGCATAGTATAACATGATAAGAATAATTTAATATGTGATATTATTTACTGACTAGGTACGACCATATTAAACCGTAACAAATTGAACCATTAAAATCTGTATACAATAGTAAATTATTAGTAATACGGTAACACTGTATGTCAACCTATAGCACTTCAAATATATTATCATATGGTCACCACCAGGACTAGAGTTAAGAAATAAATGATAAGATGAGTGATAAGAGAAGAGTTAGGGGCCGAAAGGGACTGAAAATGATGTGACCCCTCTTTTAAGGTGAGCTTTTTGCACTGAATAATAAGGAATATATATTTTTTGTTTTTAAGTCATTCATTTTTTACTTATCGATAAAATCAAAACGGGGAGCTTATTTGGGGGCCCTCCAGATGTCCTATTACTTATTACATACCTTATTATATCCGTAGTCACGTCCAGTTACGGCTCCGTTGTTCTCGAGAAAGTCCCAAGCGTCTTCGGGTTCTCCTTCGATGCACCCGTCACTTCTAGCGCAAGTGAGAATGTGTTCAAAAGATATGTTGACTGCCGTATTACCCTTACTGCTAATCCACAGTCTATCGCTGAAAACGCCAGCAACAGCAATAGCCTGCGGAGTAAAAAAATATTATTTTGCAGCTATTAGAATGAAATTAACTTGTTTTAAAAGAACAATCCAATTTTTTATATGAATTAAAAAACATTACATAAAAAAAAAACAACACTCAACGGCAGTGGAAAAACGACTATTGGTATAAAAATAATGTTGTACACTGGCCCTGGTCACTGCTAAACCAGTGTTACCAACGCTTACATTGCTAACGCCTAACACAGCTAAGAAAGTATTACTGTGAAAACTGAAGACAGCGTGTACCCCTATGATACATCAAATGTTTTTCCTACGCGGGTTTCTTTGAATTTTTTAAAAAACGTCCTTGTTGGATATTATATAAATGTGTTTCTATACGTTTAATATTCGCGTTAATTTATTACTATCGTATAGGTACGATTTTTGTAATTTTAATAAAAAAAATAACACAAAACGCATTTACTTTTGTGTACCCACTGTTACTTTTATAACTAGATAATAAATTTAATAACGTATAATATCTATTGTCTAAGACTAACAGATACTGAACTCAATATATGGAACGCGTATTGCCTATAGTCGGTTGCTTATGAAAATGTACCCTGGTAGGAGGCTGCCTGTTTAGTTTAATCAAATTTAATGTGATACTTAATATTTTTGCTAAACCTTAAAATGCTTATTTATGTTAGTTACAATAATAATTTAATCTGTTACCTAATAAGGAATACAATTTAGTGCTATCGTTCATTGTAATGTCATACGAATAAATAAAGGAGGCTGCTATTTTGTTTACCGTTATTGTTTTTTCCATGATATTTATTGTTTTCTCTATGATTTATCATATATATATATATATATATATATATATATATATATATATATATGACGGTGTTATCATCACTTAACCTAACATTTCAGTACATATCATGGAAAAGTGACGTAGCATTTTTACTTTTTTATGAAATTGGTACACAAAATGGCAGCCTCCCAGGTGGGGACATTTTTCCATCTAAATACTCGTTCCATATATTGAGTTCAGTGCTAGTAGGTATAGCTCAGAAATCATAATCAAAATTAACTATTGATATTAATTTCTAATGGTATTGAAATTGCACTGTACGACGTAATGCGGCATGAAAACTAAATAAAATCAAAACCTCCATTTTGGAATTTGACTTTTGGTTATTTTCAAACTTACCCAATCAGAATTACAATTGGACTGAAATCGAACGGCGCCTAATGAATGACATCTCGGCCATCTTGTGCGTGCATCAAAGTTTTTGGGTAGAAATTCTTTGTTTTGAGGTTCTAAATCATTAATTTTTGCGCCGGAATTTTCTCCAGACGCACTAAGCCCACTGAATAATCCTTCATCCTGAAATTTATTATTTTTTTTGACATAAATTCTTGATATAAAATACTGAAATTAATACTTTCAAATACCATACTGTACAAATTACCTCATAAGAATTATTGTTTTCTTCTAAATCAACAGCTGGATTTTGAATAATTAACGATCCGGAAAAATTAAGACACAATAACAAACAAAATCCTATGACTATTTTAGTACTCATCGTGGCGTGAAAATGAACTGTTTCTTAAGTATAATATGCAATTATTTAGTTGGAAACGTAATTTTGAATGTGAGATGGTTCACAATAAAGTGCTATTTAAGCTGCACACTTATACAGTTTTATACCGTAGTATTTAAAGTACCGTGTACTAGATGAACGATTTATCTGTGAAGATGGTTAATCTAATGTTTTATCGTTTTTATTTAATTACACATAGGTATATTTTTTTTTCTCTAGTGTGCCTACAAGTACCAGCTCTCGATATTGTAACAAAAAAGTCGGATATGTGTCATCCAAACATTTTTAGAAACAACTTAAAAATTATTTTATCCATACATCAGGTAGGTGGTAGTCATTGATTATTTATAATTATTAACAAACCTTATCGTTGCCACTTAAATTGGTAATTCAAAATTCGTAAGGTGACTCAAAACAATAGTGATTCATAAGTACTGTGACGTGGTGATGTTTTTTTTTTTTTTACCTGACAAAAGTACTTTTGTATTTGACAATAAATATTCACCCTTGTATCGAATCTCGGTTGATAAAACGGAGAAAAGTTTCTTTAAGTCACCTGGCAATAGTTGAGAGTTAGACAAATGTCATAGTTCTCTCAAGTAAATAGTAGAATATCTAGGTTAAAGTGTTAAATTTCTGTCTATATTCTATTAATAACATGTACCATGGAATAAACAATTAATATCGAATATAGCCTTATAGTGTTATTATGATTAATTTTTTATTTTTAATTCAGATGTTCCCAATATAAGGGATATGTATTGGTAATTTTATTTCATTATTGTTTACATCTGCTTATAGCAAACTATATTTCTATAAAATTAATTAATAATATAGGTACATGTAATGTATGTTTTACCTGTGTTTCGAGTTTCGACAACCTAAATAATGTATTTAAAATTATTATTATTCAAATCTTTTAAATAAAAACTAAAAAATGTATTTATTTTATGAGTTATTATCTAAATAAAAATTTTTTTTCCAATTTTTATTTTAGTTGGTCGCGGTGTATATTGTTTGTATATTATATTGTTATAAGTTAAACTTTTTAAACACCTATTAAGACCATTTATTTTTTTTTATTATTCTTCCTAACGGCTATTTTTATTTAAAATCTTATTCAAACGGATCTTAATCAAACACGGATAACTAACAATGATTTTGTTGATTTTATGTTGTGATGATTTATCCTATCAAACATAATAAACTATGTGTTAGTTGTGTCGATTTTTATGGTAATAGTTTTGTAATAATTTGCATAGCTTAGAGTTTTTAAAATGCACATTTCCACTTTGCTGCAATTCTACGAGATACATAATATTTTATTTTTCACTTCAGTCTTCACATTAAATTAATTCATTATCGGAAAAAACAAAATTAATTTATCTATATGATTATTTGAAAATTAAACAGACCACTCAATCTGAGTGAAAACGAGCTTTGCTACTTGACTATATTTTATGTTTTCCAAATAGACAATTAGTATGGAATTTAATAAGAACATAGCCTTTATCTAATAACGTTTTTAAGACATAGGTACAACTCTCTTTGCATTGTTTTATTATTTTTTAATAAAAACTAAACAGGTGCAACCAATTAGAGATAGTAATAAAGGACTTTTTGTCCTCATGTACTAACATTTTGCCTAACCTAATGTCACACAATAAAATGAAAATTATTGAGTGATTCTAAAGCCAATTTTAATTGAAAAGTGAATACCATATGATTTCAGAGTAACAGCACGTTGAAATAATCAAATGTGATCACAAAAATGTACCATGCTACATTATCATTGGACGGAGAGGGTTCAAAGTCAATAATATAATTTAATTTTAGTTTACCTTGAAAGTTATTGTAATTCAGAACACATAATTTTCTATTTTTTTTTTCAAGTAAATTACATCAGTACTCGTTGGAGGCGTTGATTTATTACCTGGTTTTTATTTGAGTTTTGTAATTAATTTTCGGTACATATAGCTAGACTATATTAATAATAATAGTTTATTTCAATGACTGTATTGATCGGTGAACGATATTTATTCAATTTAACTGCTTTACCGTACGATTTATAGTTCTTCTGGCCTCCATTCTGCAAATAAAAAAACCGAGGGGGCCTAGCAAACTGTTTGCAAATATATTACATTAATTGTGTTGATATACATTTTCCAAAACGTACCTATTATTTTTGAATCATTATTGTTTTTTTTTATGTATGATCAGGTGAAAGTTTTTTTTTTATGGGGTCGACGTGGGTATTTTACTGGATAATTTCATTCGTTAAGTTCAATCACAATTCTACATTCAACGTTTAACCTTTACCGCGGTATTATTAGCATCGTTATGGCAAAAATAAATTATTACTTTATTTTGTTATCTATCTGTGTTGCATGTACATTTGAAATTGGTATGTATAAATGTTCAACCGAAATTTATAGATTAAAATATATATATATATATACATACTCAATCTATGATTAATCTAACCAACTATAATATTTTTGCAATACTCAATTGTTTTCTGTTTTTAGATACATCTATACTCAAAAAGGATTACATAATTATATATCAACAGGATTTTGGTAATTATAATTGTGTTTACTTTAGATGTACTCTTATATAGTATATTAAGTTAGATACTGTAAGTATTATAGATTGAAATTAGATAAAGAAGACCCCCCCCCCGCCTACTTACAAAACAAATTGAACATTTTAAGCCTTCACTGCAACTAGAAAAACATAATAATTGTTCACTTTAAAATAAGTTGACATATTCAAAATGATTAACTGCCCTTTAATAAGTTGACGGTCAATTTTATAACTTTCTGTTAAAAAATATACTGTCCTTTTTTTACCTCTTACAAAATAGTTGTGCACGTAAGGCCTTCATAATGTTGTTAAAGTGTTATTGAAATAATAGTAAAATGTGTTATTAAAATATTGAAGTACATTAATTAGAACTACATGAACAAAATTTATAAAAAAAATTTAATCCTAGAACAAAAAACCGTTTTAAAAATATTTTTGAAATTAAAAAAATATTCTTAAAAAATATTTCCATTTATTTGCTGTTTGCATATTTAGGTAAACAAATAAAGCAGCAAAGCAAATGTCGGAGTTGTTCACTCACACATTTATGTAATTTTATAATAATGACTTGTTTTTCAATTTAGCTTGTATTATTATGTTTTACAATTCTGTTTTATTTTTAACTGTCTGGTTCTTGACACTAGATCTCAGAACATATATACTTTAACACAATATATATACTTTAAAAACTGAATAAAAGTTAAAATATAGTTACTACATTCTGATTAACCTAAAATTGAGATTGGTGATAATACTTATAGAGTATTATTTATGGAGCACAAAACTTTTCACAGAATTTTTTACTAAGGTTGTATTTTTTTTTTTTTTTTTTGAAAATGAATTAGTATTTTATTCTGTTGGTAATCGCATAAATAATTTATTTGTCAAAAGTATAATAATTGTTTTTTTTTATTCCAGAGACGGGCGTTTGCAAGTTTGTAAAAGAAGGTAAAAGGTATAATTATATTGGCTGTCGGATAAAATTTTAATTATATTTTCATTTGCAGATGGTAAAAATCCGTTAGATGAAAAATTAGGTAATATATAATTGTTTAATGTAGATTTAAATATTATTCAACAAGAACACTGAGTATAGCAGTTTATTTACAAAACTAATTGTGTTTTGTGTGCAACTAGTCATTTCCCTTTAAGGGTTAGATTTGCATTCTATGTATATAATCATTAGTCGTATGACTGGTCCTTTCGCAAAAAATACTATTTACAGTAATACAAATATCTGATTCACTATTTTTAAGTAAAAATCCAATCGAGTACATATTGTATAGTAAAATTTTATACTCAATGGTAAAACATATGATATGTATACTATTTAATAAAAAAAACTTTTCTGCTTTACAGATTTGGCGTTCTATTTAAAACCACAGTGAGTATTGTTATTCATAGTAACGCTTTTGCTGGAAAAAAACATTTTCAACTTGTTTTATTTTTTACAAGTTCAAAATTAGTTAACCGATCATACTACCAATAATTTGAATCAACCTTTGTGGGGGGTTGTATAATGAATAAACTAAACTTTAGCTAGGTAACTTTTTCAATCGCTATTTTTTTTTAGTATTTTTCACGGTAAGGGGTAAATTGTTGACATTCTAAAATACCTTTGGTCGTCGATTATTGTTTTGTAGATTGGCTGTGTATTGATTAACTATACAATTGATACAGACTCGAAAAAGAGAAATTGAGTTTTTAGCTTTTTTGCTCTCTGGCTTGGATTTTTTTTATGATGACTTTTTCTATTTTAAACATATTTTAATACATTACACGTGTAATTAATTACACAATTGATGGCCAATTGTTGAACGTTTATTTTAATTACCTGTTGGTTTCAGGGAACCTTGCTACGTTTATATATCCAATAACATTACGAAAATGGGAATAACCGGCGAAAATGTATACAACTACAAATACACTTTTGAGGCAGCTGAACTGATATTTGGAACATTATTTCGCCAAGGAGGAATTCCTCCATCCAAATAATGTATACATTAATTGTATTTCATCGATTTCGAGATCATTATGATTATGTTTTTATGTTACTATACTCAAGTTTTTAGTTTTTTGTTTTTAAAAACTAAGATGTATCCAGTTCTCAAAACTTTTTCTGAAAAGTAGGAATAAAACCAGCAATAATAGTACAATCATAATTATTGTAGTAATAATAATATATATTATTTGAATTTTCAATTCGAAATAGAACGTATTATTATTTCGACAATATTGCGTTTATAATTGTATGATTTCTAATAAAATAAAATTATGTAATGATATCCGTTATTATCAAATAAATCAACTGTCGGTAATTGGCCTTGAGAGTTCTTTATTATCTTTGCAACCTAAATCATAAACGCTCGTCCTACTATTGGTCCTTCTAATTTTATTTATAAGGCTTTTTTTAACATAATTTTCATCATATACGTTTTGCGTTATTGAAAAAAAAAAAAAAATGGCGGCTGAGATTTAAAATGTGTTAAGTAAGTATTTTTATGGGACAGCTGAAATGGTAGAAATTTAATATAATTTTATTGGGTGCTGATAGATGAAAAAAATTCAATATTACTACTTATTTGAGCCCGTTTAAGATCCAAAATAAATCTCATACCATGATGTTGTACCTAAGGAACATAAAAATTAAAATAATAATAGTTTGCACGAATTAAAAGGTCATAAAACAAACCAAGTACAAAACTACAAAACTAATTTTGGATGGATTTTTGCACAAATATCTATAAATACGTTTGATTATATATCAACTTGATTTTTCTCTCATTATTTAGTGTAGAAAAATTACTATTAGTATGATACATTATTTATTTTTGATTCGTTGTATGTTGTTGAATTAAAACAGTTGATAAAATAGATAATAGATAAAAAGTTTTTTTAAATAGATCTTATGATCTCTGTGGTCACTCATAGTTACTCTCACCAACTGCACACGCCTAAAATAAATATATTATTTTGTCAACTGCGTGTGTACCAAAGAAACACAACTCAAGCACGTAAATAACATTATTTTTAAGCTTGAATGACCTCGATGAAGCTTTAAAATGTGATAGTTTTAAAACTAGCGATTGTAAACCAAAACCTTAGTATTGTTATCATTATCGGACTTGCACACTTGATGCAACAAGACGCAGCAATAATACCTGTACACAAATAATATTGTTTCTAAAAATGCATATAAAGACTCAGTTGTATGTATATTTTAACGACTGCAGTTAAAACTCAGTACATTGGCATGAATGGGAACTGTACATTTTGCAGCCAATTTTGAGTCTGCAACCACAAAAGAGCATTTTCACGTGTCGTTGAAGTACCGAATAAATTTAGAGCAGTGGTGGAACCATAGATAATGAAATAGTATATTAACATCTAAGTGTCTAAGGTGGCTATTAAACATATCAAGTTTCTGGCTATTATTTTAGCGTTTTCATAATATCTGGCCTCGAACAACTCATAGGAAATATGACCTGTTCAATCACATTAAATTTATTGTTTGACATTTTATTACATTACAATGTAATCATTTGCAACAAAATTGCAGAGAGAGCAACTAAACAATTTTGTTCAACAATAGTTTATAAAACAGAAACCAAAGTAAGTGATAGCCTTAAAATGTATTTTGGATTAGTATTTTTAGACCCAGAAGATGTTTGAGATTTGTTCGCTTTAGAATTTTAATAAACCCTGAGGGTCCTAATGTCACAACATTTGTTGATTATTTACTTGACATCTATATTTCGAAAAAATTATCATACCTACAAACCAAAGCTAGTACCGCGCTAAATCTATTTTAATTTGTTTGTTATATACATCCAAACAACGTTTACACATAAACAATTTACATACCTCGAAAAATTCTCCACTTCCTTAAAAAAAATTGGAAAATTAATTTTTTTTATAATATGTTTTAGAGAAGACTATTTTCATAATTACTGAACAAACCAATTGCAAATATGTCAAGAAAAATAACTAAGGAGGTCATTATGGCAGAACACTTTAAACAATTTTATCAATTCTTCCAATAAGTTATAAATTAATTTGTATTAATTAGTACAATCGCACAGACATTTATTACTTAAATTTTTAGTTCCGACATTTTAGTATACTGCAAATTTCAATATTGCATTTCAGAAAATGTTTATCAACAGTTTAATCTTATCGAATAATTATTGTATTGTTGTACTAACTTGTATTCACAGTTTTTATATTATTACCTGTTTTAGCTTCTACTCAACTTGTTAAAAGAAACGATCAACTTAGATAGAAAACCTTCATGTGCGTTAAGAAAAAATACTTCAATTGGGTCAAATGTAGGTAGTAAAATTTTAAAACTCAATTTTTTTTTATTCTGTTTTTTTTTATTGCCTGACATTTGTATGAATTTGTATTCAGATTATTTTTGCAATTACCGGTCATTCAAGCAGTGGCGATTGCTGCGTGAAGTATATGGATACTAGAAACGAGGATGGCGAGAAACATTTTTTATTTTTAGGTCGGAGGCTATGATTGCTCGGGTAAGGATTATTATTTGGATTCCGTAGAATACTTTTTTGCGATAGATATGACACGGATAAAAAACAATGGAAATTGGTCGACAGGGCAAAAAAGCTGTCAAAAGATTATGGACATATTCTTTATATGGTATTAACTATTACTACTAATATTATTACAATCTTGTTTATTTGATTTAATATAAAATTACTTAATCATACTTTTTTTTAAATTGTGAATACAAACTATGTTTTGTTAGTTTCGACTGTGTTGTACTTCCAATTTGTGATGATAATTTGTCTTTATTATATGTTGAAAGGGTACAAAAAGAGCTTCTAAAGAGCATCTTAAATACGTTTATTAGAACTAAAACTATATGATGATAGTAATGTTTTTTTTATTTGTGCTTATTGTCTGTTTGGAAAATATAAAATAAAGCCAAGTAGGTAGAAACTTGAATTAATCAAATCAATGTAGATCTGCGATAAAAGAAATGTTTCTAAGACAAAACCATTGTGGTCACGGTTATTAGTAAAAAATGTTTTACCATTTTGATGAACTATTAGAATTATTTGCCAGTAACAAAAAAAAATCAGCTTATCAGCCCTGTTTCACTGAATTTCTAACATCTCAGGTTGTCCCATAAAAATACATGACATATTATACATTTCAACCCTAATAATTTATTTTATTTTATATTTTGCAATAGTTATCAATAAGTTCCAAGGCCAATAAATTACGCATCAAAAACATACGATAATGTATTTGTATTAAATATAATTTTATTAGACATGTTATTATGACATTATATTGTTATTAAAAATAAAAGCATTATAATTTTATGTTTTTATAAAATTCAAAATAAAATGTGTTACAATGATAATTTTAGGGTAGATGTAAAACATTAGGTCTTTGAATAAGGTTTCCTTGTAAGAACTATCAAGTATGAATGGAACTAACATAATAATATAATCATAATAACGCCGAAATCAGTAAGATTAAAGTGCAGTATGTCTATGCACAACTTTTGGAGTAACAGTTCCAAAGCGTACATCTTTTAATAAAAATATAAATCCTCTTTTGTATTTATCTTTACCTACTATTCCGTTTTCTTTAAGCTGTTCGATGGCATCATTGTAAATGGGATGTTTGGAACTAATAAGTGATTAAAATAAAATAGTTATAACTTTATTTTTTTAAATACCCCGTGCAATAGTATAGGTATACCTTAAAAAATGTAAGAGGCCACTTGCTCTCGATTATATTGAAAACGTTTTCAACTTGCTTTTTTTTTTTGCAACGTCAGAATCAGTTAAGCTACCAGTCTGACATACTACCAATAATTTTAATTAACCTGTATATCACTTATATTCACAGCTATAATATTATTATTTTATTTTTTTTAGTTACGAGAAGCATGTTAGAAAATAAGTATCATCAAGACATTCAAACAATTCAAAACCATCATGTATGACTTTAAGAAGAAATACTCAAATTGAATCATCAAACGTACGTAGACATAATTTTAAGACTAGATTTTAAGTACCTACATTTTTTTTGTGCATAGTCTATTCGGAAAATATAAAACAAAGTCAAGTAGTAGATTAAAATTAGCACCAGAGTTTGGTTGAGAATTTATTATGCTATAATTTGCAATAGCTGTAAAGAAGTTTTTAAGGCGAATGAGGTAAGTACCAAAAACACATTGTTGTATAGGTATGTTGATTAAAATATTTTTATTGTGTAATTAATTATTATGACATTATATTGTTGTTGAAAACAAAGCTATTATAATTTTATGTTTATTTAAAATTCAAAAATATGTATCATGGTTCTTACAATAAAAAGTTTTCTTTTTTTTGTATTCCAAAAAGTATCATTTGTTAATGACGAATAGAGTGTCAATAACCAGTTCAGATACTTTAAATTCAAATTTTCTTCCGAACTTATTATTACCAAGTATCTTGTGGTTGTGATTCTGTTTGATAGCATCAATGTAGGCATAATGATCGAAACTAATAGGTAAGTAAAATAAAAAAGTTATATAACTTTATTTTTTTCAATATCCTGAACAATTGCATGGGTATTTCTTAAAAAAACGCAAGAGGCCACTTGCCCTCGATTGTATTAAATGTCTATTTGAAATATGGTTTTTAGGAGACATCATCATAAAAAATTTCGAAGACAGAGCAGAACAAAAACAAATATCAATTTCCCTATAGGAGATGCCTATTATTTGGATTGGCCACGTGAAACACGCTGTATAATGGTGAAATCGTGTTCATTATAGCCAATATGCAAATTAGAAGTCGTTCACTTGAGGTAATGTCAACAATTAAAAAATGTCCCCCTTTTCTTTAAAGTAAAAAAAATATATATATATCCTAATTATCAGCGATTGAAAACGTTACTAAGCTAAAGACTACTTTATTTGTTATAACGTATACAAATTTTATTAAAACTATTGGTAGTATAAAAATAGTCTGGAAGCTTAACTGATTTTGACCTTGTTAAAAAAATAAGTTGACAATTTTTGGTTTTTTCAAGTAAAGCGTCGATAAGAATATTAGTACTC